AAATTGGTAGTGGCTCAGTCGTGACTGACATTTTGCAACCCCATGGACTGTAGCCCGCCAGGCTCCGCTGTCCATGGAATTCTCGAGGCAAGAGTACTGGAACGGGGAGCCATTCTCTTCTCCAGGAGATCTTCCCAACCCAGGGATTGAACCTGGGTCTCCTGCATTGCAGGCAGATTCTTTATTGTTTCAGCCACCAGGGAAGCCTAAGGATACTTTTTCTCAAAATATTAAAAGAACTACTGCTAAGTTATGGATTATCCCAGGGGCCAAAGTAGTTATTAAATACAGACCCACTTAGGCAGGTCACTGCTTTCGGTGCTTCTTTATGACCCAACTCGCTAGTGAGCTGCCTTTGCAGCCATGTATTTCCCATCTCTTCAGCCTGTGTTGAGATTGAAGGGGAGTCATTGGATGACTTCCGGGACAGAGCTGAGTTGGAGCAACTGTCCTCTGCCCCAACCCCTTGCCCACTTTCTTCTTCAACCTCAGTGGCAGGGAGCTGCTTCCAGACCTGGGAGTATGGAAGCTGCTTCCCCTATTGAGCACAGCCTCATCTCTGTGTGTGCATAAACATAGAACAGAGCAGAAGAGCAGTGTTGGGGGTGGGGACCTGTGTGGCTTCCTCTGGCCCCTGGCAGCCTCGAAGGTTCCAGTTTCACACTGTAGTTCTAAAAAAAAAAAAACAGTCACCAGGTTTCCCCAACCTCTTGTTTCCTGGGTGAACGTCCAGGTTCCTGAACATGACCCTGAACTGGGCGTGGTTGTGAGACCCGCCTACCTATTCCAACAGGTCTCTTTTGAAACACAAAAAAAATCAAACATCACCACCACTTCTGTAGATGACCTTACTGATTCCACAGCCCTTTCGCATGGACACACCCAATCTGTCTTTGCAGGGATCACGAACGACTATTGGATTCCTTTATAGGTGAAGAAACAGGCTCAGAGGAAGGAGATGCTTTTACTAAATGGCCTCATCACTGGTTTCAGAAGAGTTGAAACCTGGGTGAAGAATGCCTGTGTGCTTTCCAGAAAAGCACAAAGTGAATCTACAAGCACCTGAAACTGTGACATTGAGAAGTGAATACAAGACTCAGAGTGGGCCTGACCAGGCAGAATACAGCAAGGGGCTCATCATTCTTCCCCAGCAGCAGCATGGGGTGCTCTTGACCCACACGTGCTTCTTTCTGATGGGTATCCTTACCAAACATAAGTCCTTAGACTCACCGTTCACAGCTGCCAAGACTGGCTCCATATCCTCCAGGTGTCATGATGAGCGTCGGGGGCTCTGAATTCAGAATGCCCACCACAGACATAGCTCTGGCTTCAGTTTCTTAAACGATAAAATGACAAACCCATTTCCTAAGGTGTTTAAGTATTGGATGTGACCAGGTAGGCAAAGGGCTTTGTTTAGAGACGCTGAGCAGGCATCACTGTAACCGTTGCACTGTCTGCCCCTGTCTTCTGATCCCTCAATATGCACACTTAGTGTCTCGCCAAGTCATAAGAAAACTAGAACCACTTTGGGCAAAGGTTGACACACATCTATTGGTAGTTTTTGGTTGTGCTGTTCAGATGTCTTCAGGCTTAACAGAAATGACAAGTCAACAGTCTCAGGTTCAGTCCCGGACTCCAGCACCCGTCATCAAACTGTGCTCGTTTCCTGCTCTGGATCCCAGGAATAACCAGCACCTCTCCTTTCCTGGACGCTCTGAAGAGTAAACAACTGCACATGGACACACCTGGAGGTATTTAGGGCTTCGCAAGTTGTGGTCATTATCATCATGACAATACCCAGCTCTAATTCTCTTGTCGCCGGCACATTAATATCTTCAATGATATTGTCAAACTGTTCCCTTGAATCCAAACGTGTAATACTGTGTATTCTATACTTCAAAATGGGATTGACACCCTGGTGGCTAAGAGCTCACTTTGCTGGTCCCAGGGAAATGCAAGCTCACTGTAGAAGAGTCACCTTCCAACTTTGAAGCTGGTGCTACATGGATGAGTGTCACAAAGGCTGGCCCTGACCACATGAGAGGTGTGTCTTCGTGGGTCCTTGGGGTCTTTTATTCTCCCCTTCAGGTACCCAGCTCTCTCGTATTACCCTGGGGTTTGGTTTGAAAAACAAACATTGTGCACCAAACTGTTTGATGATTAGGAGCCAGCCCTCTGAGGGGTAGCTGAGTTTTGGGATGTTCCCCAAAAGACATCTGAAACAGTGAGTTTTCAGGGCTTGAGATCCACAAATATTTTGAGCAGTGTTTCAGCCTCCTTCCTGCCAAAATATCCCCAACCACATTTCACAATCTGTAGCCTGTTTCCTCAACACAGAACAGCTCTTCATTTTATCAAAATATTATCAAGTAACTTTGAAATGCTGTTATTTTGTGTGTGTGTGATGCATGTACAAGTCCTGTTTAAATATGAGAAAATTCCTATTGTCTTCTGATAAAATCCAATAAATGTCAACACACACATTAGTTGATATTTAACTAGGTGAGTAGACAAACAATAACAGAAGGATTAAACATTTAAAATGTTTGCCTACTTGTCAGGATTTTTGGACCCCAAATCAAAACAAATGTAGGGTCTCCCTTAACTAGAAGATGGAGTTGAGATCAAGTGAGGAAATGGGCCAGCGGGTAGCCAGCTTTGAGTCCATTTGAAAAACAAGCATTTTCTGTAATTATGCTATCCACAAAACGACACCCAATTACTCTAGCCCGTATCCAGAGCACTATTCTATGTACTGTCAGAAAAGTTAACACTGTATGACAAGCCAATTTTTTTGACAGCCAGAAGGGGAAAAAAGGCACAGGAAAGCCAGGTGTTTTTTATTGAAAACAATACAAACTTGAAATGACCCTTTAAATCAGAGAAAATGAGTCACAGGAAATCCGAGTCCTCTCTCAGCCATGATTATAAGTCCTCTCTTGACTCAGAACCACTGTAACTTGGAAACCTCTTTTCCTTCCAGAGATAAGTTATAAATTAACCAGCACTACGTTACCTCAAGACTAGTAGGTCTCCAGCTCTGAGATAACACGAAATGTTTTCGCCCTGAATTGTAAATGTGCCTGGTTAATCATCCTCCCTCTCTCTCAGTCGCCTTTAACTCCATCTGAATGTACGGCTATATCCACTGCATTTCCGGCTTGCTGCGCCAACTTGACGTGGTTTCAGTTTAAGGACTTGAAAACACTCTACATTCTGGAGGAAAACAAAAGAAGTCGGGGCTCATCTGTCAGAGCAAGGGCTCCCTCTGGAAAAAGCAGCTCTCCCACCTTCCCTGACCGCCAGCCATTGGACCTCAACCTGGGTGGAGTGTTAGGACCACGCCCTAGCAAGACTGCTCTGCTAAAGGGAAAACCAAGAGAGATGCAAATGGCTGTAGACAGCTGAGCAGACAGGTGGAAGTTACTTCGGGAGGGTGTCTTTGCTTTCAGATATACTCCAGTGACTTACTCAGAACTTGTTAGATTAAATGGTGTTCGATCAGCAGCAGACTACAAATCCAAGACAGGAGCGACAAGTCACTCAGCACACTCAATTTTCCCCACAAACAAAATTATTTCCTATTCAGAAAGGAAGTGGCCTTTGAACATGTCATGGACAGAGGAAAATGGTCCTGCAACCTTTCAGTTTAGTTCAGTTGCTCAGTCATGTCCGACTCTTTGCGACCCCATGGGCTGCAGCACGCCAGGCCTCCCTGGTCCAACGCCAACTCCCGGAATTTACTCAAACTCATGACCACTGAGTCGGTGATGCCTTTAAAGGACCATGAAAACAAGGACCAGCACTTTATTTGCAAATTATCTTGTAGGAAATGAATGGTACAACTTTGTCAGCAAAGTGTACACACCAGCAGGTACAATCACCAGAGCCGAATGTGAATTTTAATAAACTTTCATACAACGATGATCAGCCAGCAAACGTCATGGTCTGCACCGTGTCAGTGGCCAAGGCGACAAAGGGCACAGGGCTGCCCGTAGTGTAAGGGTGTGAACAGTAAGCAGGCCTGCCTCTTAGCAAGGTGACCATCAGCCGAGGGTAAGTTCATGCTTATCTCTCTCAAGGATTTTAGAGTCGAGACTGAGAGTTCAGTTTCTCTAATTAAAAACTAACTTTCGATGATTTCAAAAATTCCAAGTCTATATTTGCTTTCCAAGAACGAAGTAGCTGTGGTGAGCATGGAAATGCATGAGACAGGCAGTCCCCCATGTGCTGAACTTGACTTCACTACAATGAAGCACAGCTACGGTGTCTGGGGACAGTGGGGCACCCCAGAGCTGGCAAATAACAGGAGTGGGTGGGTCCCAGAAAAGGGAGGCTTTGCTGGTGCTGCTGGACTCAGCCCGGGATGCAGCCCCAGAAAGCAGTGAGGTTTGATAAAACGAATACAAAATAAAGCTAGCTCAGATTCATTCAGGGAGCGTACTGCTCGTCTCCCTTTTGCTGAATTACGTAGCTAATTCCTACACACTTCCTATCTGCCCCCCAGGCAAAGCCATATAAACTCACATGACCCCGTAGCCCCTGCATCTCTAGGTGCTTACCTGGACAGGGTTAGAAAGGTATGATGGTTGTTAGGTGGGGGATAAAGGGTTGCTGTGTTCATCTTCTTTCCTTACTGAAATCAGGTGCAAATAGCTAAGGAGAAGGAAGCAAAGAGCAAGCCCCACTTCACCCTTAATCCAGGACCAAGGCACTTCACTGGGCCAAACTTGGTACACCATTTTACTTCTGGGTTAGGCCAGGGAGCCAGGCCACTGGCTAGGAGGGCTTCGAGGTTGTTCCAGGCCTCCAGTTGGCTGTACAAGGCCTTTGGCCCCAATCTCTGACTGGATTAATTCTCCATCATCCACACTGTATTCTAAGACTGACTACATAAAGAGGTCACCTGATAGAATCAGCAATGGACAGGGGGATTCTTCTAAAATCCAACATGCAATGACTTCTTCAATAGAAAAAGAATGGGGTAAGAGAAAAATTTCCAAGTTTTCGTTTCACTAATTTTATTCATATTTGGTAATTTTCACTCAGAATCCTATCAACCTCTTTTTCAGTATGAGATGTTAAGTCTGTAGGTCCATTATATACAATCCCTTAGAAACTTTATTTGGTATAACTTCACATTTTTGGTGTATAGAAATAAAATTTATTTTCATACTATAGCACAGGAGACATACAATCAATATTTTTTCCTAGAGTGTATGATATATAAATTATTCACATTAAAAAAATTCAGAACAGAAAGCCTCATATGCAGGAGGTATTTAAAAATGTATACCTAATTTTGAATTGGTGTTTTTGACAGTATACACAACTAGCTTTACAAATCTGAATGAGTATGATGATACATATTTGAACAAAGTACGCATATGGGCCCACTCCAGATACTTAATTCAGTACACAGATAACTCGTTCTTCACTTTGGTCACTGCAATTCCAGGTGCTGAGGCATATGTGGATCTGAAAGGTACTTTCAGGAGTATTATTTATTACACTGGCATTTTAAACATTTGTGTTTCTTCTATTCTCCTTTATAGCGAGGGGTCCTTTTCTCTTTAAAAGCAAGAAGACCTTCAAGTCTGTCTTTTGTTGGAATGGTCTAAGAGAAGCAAAACAGTATGTTATCTGTGCCCAAAATGAGAAACAACTATAAAAGTTTAATGAGCTTTATCTAAGGAAACTAATTAGAAGACAATCTAAAATTGTAAAATCATCTGAACAATTTAAATTACGCGAACAAATTTATCATTCTAATTCCAATATACTTTTTTCTTCCGTTTCATTAAACATACTTCAATACAATTAAGAGTTTATTTTTTAGACAATTTTAGGTCTACTAAAAACCTAAGTAGAAAGTTCAGAGTTCCCATATACTCCCCTGAAGCCCCTCATTGTTTCCGCTATTATTAACATCTTTTATTAATGTGGTATATTTGTTACAACTAATGAGCCCATACTGACACAGTATTATTAACCAGTCCATAGTAACATTAGGGATATTCTATGGGTTTTGACAAACACATAATGTCATGTATCCGCCATTAATTACAGCATCACAGAAAACAAGTTCCCTGGCTACACATCCCTGATGCTTTACCTAGTCATCCCTGACCACCCTGCCCCCGCCCCATGTCTTTTCCAGAAGGTCACATAGTTGGGAGTCATATAGTATGGACTTTTAAGATTAAAATTCATTATTTAGCAATAAGTATCTAAGGTTCCTTCTTGTTTTTTCCTAGCAGAGTAGCTCATTTCCTTTCACTGCTGAGTAACAAAGACCCCACTGAAAGGATATATTAGTACCACAGCTTTTATCCATTCACCTACTGAAGGTCATCGTGGTTGTTTCCAAGCTTTATAAAACTTAGGAATAGCAGCTTTATAAAGTTGCTGTAATAAACACCACTGTGTAGCTTTTGTGTGGACACAGGTTTTCAACTCATTTGGGTAAATGCAAAATTGCACGATCACTAGGTCATGTGGTAAAATTATGTAAGAAATGGCTAAACTGTGAAATCCTGTTTTATGTGCATTTTTTAACGTCATATGATGTGGACCATATTTACTTATGCTTATCTGCCTTCTGTACACCTATTTTGGTGAGGTATCTCTTCAGACCTTATACCTTCTTTTTAAAAAAAAAAATTATATATTTATGTTACTTCACAACATTGTATTGGTTTTTGCCATACATTGACTTGAATCCGCCATGGGTATACTATTTCTACTATAAAAGCTATTTGAGTTTTAAAAGTTCTTTTTATATCTTGGATATAAGTCCTTTATCAGATATGTTTTGCAAATATATTTTTTCCAGTCTATGGCTTATCTTTCTATTCTCTTCACAGTGTCTTTTGCATAGTAAGTTAATCTTAATACATATGAATTTTTTTTCTTTCATGAATTACACTTTTGACGTTATATATAAAAAGCCATTGCCAAACTTGAGGTCACCTAGAATTTCTACTATGCTAACTTCAAGAAGTTTTACAGTTTTTCATTTTACATTTAAAAATAAGTCTATAGCTCATTTTCAGTTAATTTTTGTAAAAGGTATAAGGTCAATGTTTAGATTCTTTTTGTTTTTGGTAGTTGAATGTCCACATGCTTTTAGTACTATTGATTTTCAAGATGACTTTTCTTCATTGAATTGCCTTTGCTCTTTTGTCAAAGATCAGCTGCCTATATTTGTATGAATCTATTCCTGAGTTCCCTATTCTGTTTCATTAGCCTATCTGTCTTTATTTTTGCCAGAACCACACTTTCTTGATTGCTGCAGCTTTACTCTAAGTCTTAAAGATGAGTAGTGTCATTCCTCCAACCTTGTTCCTTACTAGTGTGGTAGCTAACCTATGTCTCTGCACTTCCCATACAAACTCTAGAACTGGTTTGCCAGTATTAAGAAAATAACTTTCTGGCATTTTTATTGGGATCATGATCACATATGATCAAGTTGGGAAGAAGTGATATCTTAAAATATTGAGTCTTGCTATCCATGAATATGAGCTATCTATTTATTTAAATAGTGATTTCTTTCACCAGAGTTCCTTCTTTAGCTTGGATTATATTGATTTCTGAGTGCTGAACCAGCCTTGCATGTCTGGGGAAAAAATATTACTTGGTTGTACCACATAATTCTTTTTATAGATTGCTGAACTTATAGTTTGCTATTATTTTGTTGAGAATTTCTATATCTATATTAATGAGAGAGAGTGGTTTACAATTTTCCTTTCTTGTAATATCTTTAGTTTTGTTATGAGGGTAATATAGTCCTCAGGCTTCCCAGATGGCACTGGTGGTAAAGAACCCATCTGCCAACGCAGGAGACGTAAGAGATGCAGGTTTGATCCCTGGGTTCAGATTCCCTGGAGGAGGGCATGACAACCCACTCCAGGATTTGTGCATGGAGAATCCCATGGACAGAGGAGCCTGGCAGGCTACAGTCCACAGGGTTGCAAAGAGCCAGACACGACTCAAGTGCCAGTGCGCACACACGCACTGTCCTGATGGAATAAGTTAGGAAATGTTCCCCCTGCTTCTATTTTCTGGAAAAGACTGTAGATAATTGGTATAATTTCTTCATTAAATGTTTGGTAGAATTCACCAATGAAAAATATCTGGGCCTGGTGCTATTTCAGAAGCTTATTAATTATTGATTTAATCTGTATAAAAAATATAGGACTATATAGATTATCTGTTTTTCCTTGTATGAATTTTGGTATGTTTTGTCTTTCAAGGAATTGGTCTATTTCATCTTAAGTTATCAGATTTGTGGCCATACATAGTTCACAGCATTCTTTTATCCTTTCAATGTCAACAGGATCAGTAATAATAACCTTTCTTGCATTTCTAATAAGCTGATTTCAGAACTTTCTTTTCTAATATACACATTTAATGCTATAAACTTCTCTCCAAACATTATTTTTGATGTATTCTCACAAATTTTGATAAGCTATATTTTCATTTTGATTTAGCTCAAAATATTAATTATTAATAATTATTCTTAATTATTCTTGAAACTTTCTCTTCAACACTTGTCATTTAGAAGCACCCTGTTCAGTCTTATTAAAAAGATGAAATCTCACCATTAATAGGAAGGCTTCCATCTATCTTTCTGCTACTGAGTTTTAGTTTAATTCCCTTGCGGTCTGACAGACTAGTTTGTATGATTCCTGTGCCTTTACATTTGATAAGGTGTGGCCAAATATGCTTTTAAAATTTTTCTTCAGACTCTGAGGTTGTCCATTTGTAAGAGGTTTGTAATTTGGTTCACTTTTGGCATGCATTCATCAATGACAGGTGGCAATTTATATATACTGACCACAGTTAGCACTCTAGCTCTTGCTTCTAATTCATGACTCTGCCATGCTTAAATGGAAGCTAACACAGTTTCCAATTCTCAGAAAAGGTGGAACAAAACTCTTGTGCCACTTTACATGCCCTAAAACAAAATATTATCTTTCATTTAAAAAAGGATGGAAGAAAGGGAGGAAGGAAGATTTGTTCCTCTACAAAAAGCTCTATTAATTTGTGTATAAAAAAGAAAACTGTATGTAATTGAATTACTAAACTTTCAGTGGGTAGGAGAAAAGGTTCAGAACATCAGAAAAGTCAATGAGTCTCAAACTCTGATGTTCCCTAGAGGCACATGGTCACAGCTGCCTTCCTCCCATCTCTCTGCTCTGGAGTCAGGGTTCAAACCACACCCAGAAAACAAGGGAGTCAGAGAGACATCTACAGAACAAATGCTACTAACAACTATTCCAAAGGTTTTCTAAATTATGTAGACAGGAGTCATCACTAAGTGAAACAGAATTAGTCACAAGAGCTGGTGATAGTTAAAGAGAAGACACAAACAATTTCAACCCATTTGTATGATTTTGTAATAGGCGTGATTTGAATCTGCTCATGATACATAATTTAGTTGACTTATACAGAAGGTAAGGGGTATCTGCATTGAATTAGAGATTTTATCACATACCTGAGCATAACATGCTTCTTCTATGGCTAATCCTGTTACTAAATCAACCTGATAATAAAAATATAATTCATTTTAGCAAGAATTACTTTTTAAAAATATGGTATATCAATATAAACTCAAATTTAACAACCTTATTCCAAAAGAACAGAACTCTTTGATGTAATACAGCAAATTAGAAGTATGATCAGCACGAGAAACTTAGTTTGCCCGGGTTCAAATTCTGACTGTACTATATGTGAGCTGTGTAACCTTGCTTACAGAGATCATTGAACCTCTTTTGCCTCAGAGAGGTGCATCTGAACAAGTAGCTAATTATAGTATCTACCAAATGGGGTTGTTGGAAGATCAAATGAGTTAATCTAGGTGAAGTCTTTATAAAGTACATAAAATATATCTGTATATTGCCTGGCAGCTCAGATAGCAAAGAATTTGCCTGCAATGAAGGAGACCCAGGTTCAATCCCTAGGTCAGAAATATCCCCTGGAGAAGGAAAGAATTTTTAAAACCCAATCAACTGCCTTAAAAAATTTTTAAACGTATTTACTGCTAACAAATCCAACCATGTTTTACTGCTATGAAGCCCAGGAAAATATAGCACTTCTGGGTCTGTAAGGAAGAAGTGTCTTTCTTCAAAATTCCTATAATTTACCCAAAATACAACTGCTATAATGCAAAGCCCAAAGTAAATGGGTGCCTGCATGGATCCCTTGGCCTGCTTACCTCTCCCCTGTCCTGGGGCCTCTGCTCCTTTGGACTACATCTCCAGAATAACCCCAGGGCTCCCTACAGGGTTTATATGTGTCTCACTGAAGAAAGCACATGGAGAAGTTAAAGATGGTCTCCATGCTTAGCAGGAGCTTTGCAACAGGAAGTTCTCCTTAGGAAAAAAAAATGGTTTTCTTTGGTAATATGATACTGGTGCTGAGAATACATAGAATACTCTCTTGTTTTGGTTTTCTATGAACTAATAGCCAATAAGTTTATTAACTCAATGGCAAAAATAATAAGCATGTCATACGCTGCAGGGTGTAAGTGAAATTACTGAATTCTGTGATTATGATATTGAATCAACTACAGCTATAAGCAGAATGAAATCACTGATGTAGCTAAAAAACACAATAGCTTTCAGTAATCACAGCAGTAAATATTTTAGAATATTAAAAAATAATGGTTCATTTAAATTAATCTCTACCACCTATTCCAACAAAAAGTTTAGGAAACTCACCTCCATTCCTTGATTAATTGCTAATTTTGCCACTCTCATTGCAACAGGTCCCTAAAATTCAAACAAAACATAATAACTATTATTTTTGCAAATCATGTTGTACATCTCAGTCAAATTCAGGAAGTCCCTTTGGCAGATCCACAGCACAGGAGCAACAACGGCTGCAAGATAACTGACGGGAAATTCATCTTAGGAGATCGGGTTTCCCTGATGGCTCAGGAAGTAAAGAATCACGTGCAATGCAGGAAACGCAGAGATGCAGTTTTAATCACTGGGCTGGGAACATCCTCCACAGGAAGGAACAGCAACCTACTCCAGTATTCTTGCCTGAAAGATCCCATGGCTATAGCCCAAACGGCCACAAAGAATCGGATACAACTGAGCGACTAAGCACGCATGCAAGGCTTTTAACTGTTAATAAACCATAATTCTAACAAACTACTGCACCACCATATGACACAGGGCCCACGGCATGCTGCAGCACAGCATGCTAGATGCTCGGAGGTCAGCAGGTGGCATGTGTCCAATAGAGGGCTTTCCACTGTTCAGCGAATCTCCCTACAAGTTAAGTAGGAAAGAGAAAAGGAAGTAAGAGTGTTTGGCACAATTAACATACCCATCAGTGGTTTGACAGAAGCTTGGGCTGTATATTCTCACCCTGCTTATTTAATTTACATGCAGAGTACACCATGGGAAATGCCAGGTTGGATGAAGCACAAGCTGGAATCAAGATTGAGGGAAGAAATATCAATAACCTCTGATAATGCAGATGACATCACCCTTATGGCAAAAAGTGAAGAGAAACTAAAGAGACTCTTGATGAAAGTGAAGGAGGAGAAAGTGAAAGAGTGAAAGTTTAAGCTGGTTTAAACCTCAACATTCAGAAAACTAAGATCATGGCATCTGGTCCCATTCCTTCATGGCAAATAGATGGGGAAACAATGCAAACAGTGACAGACTTAATTTTCTTGGGCTCCAAAATCACTGCAGATAGTGACTGCAGCCATGAAATTAAAAGACGCTTGCTCCTTGGAAGAAAAGCTATGACCAACCTAGACAGCAAATTAAAAAGCAAAGACATTACTTTGCCAACAAAGGTCCATCTAGTCAAAGCTATGGTTTTTCCAGTAGTCATGTATGGATGTGAGAGTTGGACTATAAAGAAAGCTGAGTGCAGAAGAATTGATGCTTTTGAAATGGTGTTTAAGAAGACTCTTGAGAGTCCCGTGGACTGCAAGGAGATCAAACCAGTCACCCTAAAGCAAATCAGTCCTGAATATTCATTGGAAGGACTGATGCTGAAGCTGAAGCTCCAATACTTTGGCCATCTGATGCAAAGAACTGACTTACTGGAAAAGACCCTGATGCTGGGAAAGACTGAAGGCAGGAGGAGAAGTGGACGATAGATGAGATGGTTGGATGGCATCACTGACTTGACGGACATGAGTTTGAGTCAGCTCCAGGAGTTGGTGATGGACAGGGCAGTCTGGCATGCTGTAGTCCATGGGGTTGCAATGAGTTGGACATGACTAGAGATTGAACTGAACTGAACTGGGCTGGAGATGAGGCTGACGCTCTTGATTAACATGGGAATTCAGATAGCATCTGTTGGCTCACTTCGGCAGCACATACCCAGATAGCATCTGTTTTAGGTAGTGGATCTGTATCATTCTTCCCTGGGCATCAATAATTAGTCACAATGATAATGTACTAGTAAAGACACGTCCTCCAGGCGGTACTCCCACATTACACAAAAGCTTCAAGTCCAAATGAGTCCTTTAGGATGTGTGAGGGTCAAAACTGAGAGTCCTCTGCAAGAAGGTTTTATCTTAGAAAACCATAATCCTCCAGATGGAATTTATCTGATCACATTTAAAATTCATGAAAATTGTTATGAGTGATGAATTCAATGGTATAGTTTAAAGCATCTTTTGAATTAAAATGCAAGAGGTTCTAAATAAGAAGCAGAATAAAGGACTCCAATAAGTGCATAAACGCATGATGGCATGAAAAATGCCATTTTTTTTTTTTTGGTTATCAGTTTTAACCTACCTAAATTTTCTTCCTAAATCATGTGCTGAAAAATTTTAAGACCCTGCAATTTTCTGAGACTTAGGCAAGTATCTTAGAATTCTTCCAAATGTAATTTGTATGTATTAGTTTTTTTTTTAAGATCAACAATTCACTAAAAAACAAAATAAAACAAAACAAAACAGAGTACTCCTCTCAATGAGAATTTTATCCTTTCACTTTTATCACCAGCTGACCCAGACAAATGCTGGCCAGACTTCCACATGCACCCAAGTCCTCAGGTCCCTTGTTAAAACGGTTACACTGATTCAGGGTCGGGGATGGGCCATGTTCCCAGGGGATGCCTGGACTGCTGGTCCACAGACCACACTTTGGGCAGCAAGGTTTAGGAAACTGGAGAGATAGGAAAATGAAAACACTACTAGATATAATGCTTATTCAATTAGCTTCTTTTTTAAAATATGAAACCAGTGCCTCTTCTATATATACAAACCATTTTTTTTCCTCAGAAAAACAGAAGTAGATACACACAAATACAGAAATCACGCAGAAATCCTAATTGTTTAGAAGTTTCCCAATTACTTAGAGACTAATAATTTAGTAACAAGATCTTTAAAAATAAAAATTATTCCACCTCAAATTCTGTTTTGTAACTTGTGCATATAGTTTCACAGTTACACATTTTCCGAAGTCATCTGACATCTCCCTTCAGCTGGGGGAAAAATAATGTTAGCAATTAATGTTCTCAGAGGGGTGTCCCTCAGATGAAAGGGACGATGAGGACAGCCTGGTTTACCACATGGTAGGGTGCAGCCGGATGTCAGTTTGGAGGTGGGGAGAAGGAGGCTCTAGGGTGGGGTGAGCTGCGGGCACAGAGAGAGAAAAAGAGAGAGAGAGTGCGCATGTGTGTGAGCAAGATCGCATACGAGAGAGCCAGTTCTCAGGAGTGATATGAAGAATGGAACCACAGAGGCAACAAGGGGCTAATGAGCCACCCGCCACCCTGGCGGAGATCTGTAACAGGGAGCTGACCACTCACATCCAAGGACCATGGGAGGCTGTGAATCTCAGAACTGGAATTACGCCCAAACCTTCCTTTACTGCTTTACTTCAACTGAGATGTGTACTGGTCGTCAAGTTTTAAGCTACAGGAAGTCGCTAAATCTGTATGGAGCTAAACTATCACTTCTGATATGTGTACACTTTTAATCTCTCTTCAGTGAGATGTTTCCTTAATATTTTGAAGAAGCATTAACACCAAAGTTAAAAGGAGAGCTTTTCTTAATCTTAAAGTAGTGAAAGTCTTGTGTTAGCTCTCTATGGATTCAGAGTATAAGGCTGTGTGTTACCTCATCCAGGGAATGAACGTACATAAGGGCCCCACCCTGAAAGAGCTTACAGCTCTAACTTAATTGAGAAGGGCTGAAATAGCACCGACATCCAGGCAGTGTGGCTTTAGAAGCCAACTCAAATGAGAGGCCCCATCTGACAGCTCGCGGGGACAGGTGCGCCGCAGCAGACCTGGGCTCTGTCTGACAACAAAGAACTCCACGGATGCCTCCTGAAACTGGATACAGAGCCCCGAACAAATGTGGAGGGTGCGTGCATTTCTCTAGAGAGAGTTCCCAAAAGAACTCATGGCCTCAAAAGAGATTACAAATACTGATTGAGTTAGAGAGGAAGTAATTTTGACTCCAGAAATGGTTAGGGGATTATAAAAGTTTACAATCCATTGGGAATAAACACAAATCACTAATTGTTTACTTAGCAAAAGTCCTTTAATCTATGATTTCTGAACAAAGGACTATTTGAAAAATACTTCTCAAACAGTGAGAGAACCAAGAAACCCTTAAAACAGGTTTCTTGACACTCTGTTTATTATTAATACTACTGCTCACGAGGATTAAGATCTGTGAGTAAACGCACAGTGATTCCCAGATTTGAAGTGTACTTCTGAAGTGGATGGTGCACAAAGGAGTTACAACAAGGCCGCCATCACCATGAAAACAAACACAATAAGATAAACAACTGGTGCTATTTAAGCAGGTTATCTCAAGTTAAGTGATCTCAATGAAAGCTCACTTGACATAATGGACTGTGGGCTCCTTATTTATTTGCGTTTCAGTTTGGGGACAATCCAGTGTAAAAGCCCATATGTACCATCCAGGGCAGGAGGACTAGCTGGAGAACAACTTAAGTTGCTGGGAATCTCTGTTGCATGTGATAAACACGCACATAATATATTATCAATGTGCAGCTAGAGTAAGGGCCTTGAATTACCTTCAAATCTTAATTTTGAAGGCTCTTAATACTAATCTGGTATATGATTTCTAGTTTTACAGCTACCTGTATGCTTCTCTACTTGGAAAGCAAGAAAAGGACATTACAGGTAGGTAACACGATCGCTGGTTTTGTCAACTTGTTGTAAGGTTATAAAAAAGAGCAAAAAAAGAAACACAGTTAAAATACCTGAGGTAAAAACTCTCTTGCTAGGTCCAAGGCCTTTCTGTAGGCGGCGTCCCCCTCCTGGTTCTGTTCTAGAACATGGCTGATCAAGCCCACTGACTTGGCTTCTTGGCCATCGAGCACACGCGCAGAGAAGATGAGCTCTTTCGCCAGGGACATCCCAATGGCACGCGGCAGTCGCTGCGTTCCCCCTACAATGCGGATGAGACAGAAAACGCGTGCGATGACTTGACAGCCTTTCGCTTTAACATCTCAATTTTTCATTTCTTCTACTGGAAAAACAAACCAGGACCAGAAGTTTTTATGTTAAAATTAAGTAACTGGAAAACTACTTCAAAACTTAATCTCATTTCTTCATTAGTTTATAAAATTATTAAAACTCTAAAAGCACTTAAGAATCTTGTATCACTATTCAGTGATTCTGACACTGCCCATCACTGGTAACACAGTTGGCAGGTTCCTGAATCCAATCCACATCATTACCGTGTCAGGAATCAAAAGATGCACAGTAGTGGAGGAGGGTGGGGGCAGTCTCCTTTCCCTTAGGTCATTCATAGGAGGAATGACAGGTCCATCAAACTTGGCATTTCTCCTTCAGTTCAGATAAAACATCAAATTCTCAGAAATCCAACTCGTGTGCTTTTAAAGACTTATTTATGGTAAATGAACTGTAAACTAATTTTAATTTAATGAAAATAAAAACAGATAATTGCTCATGAAAACAAGCTTTGTCCCACAGTTTTACTTTTTTAAGGCAAGTGATAATCATCCCCTGTTGCAGTATTCTATTAAATCCATCTCTCTGCTCACTCTAGTACCTTTAAGTGAGGAGACTGCGATTTCATTAAATAGAAAGCTAAACAAAAGCAGGTCATATTCTTATTGGTAGCTTTAATTTCTACCAACAGGAAGATGAAAACAGCTGCAAATCTTAAATCTTATCCCTAAGTCTTATCCTTGAAGTGGCAGCTGGGCTGACCAGGAGGCGGAGGGAAGGCTGACTGTGAAGGTTCAGGGGAGAAAAAGAAAACTGTTGGTCACACGTCTGAACGAGCTCACCGTGTGTTTCTTTGCCCGTGCAGTTTATTCTGCATTAGTTACCAACATTTATAAACTGAGTGGGTGATTTCATATAAAAATTAGTTTTAACCTGGAAGTTAACTGCAGCTGCATCTTTTAGATACAATGAACTCAAGCTGCCACAGCCTCCACCACTTCCTACGACTCCAATACTGTAGACTGAGAGGTTTTGATTTTCTTTAAGCGATTTTATTATTTTTTTTTTCTTTAAGCGATTTTAAAAGGAAGGTAAAATCATTTCTTATCCACATCTCAATCAAAAGTTGGGGAGGGATGAGAAGTAAGTTTCAAGAAAACATATATCCCTTCAATAATTAAGTATATTCCTATGTGTTTAGTAAACGAAGCACATTGGTATTGGAAGCTTATGATGCTACTATTAAACAATTATGTTGAGAATTACGTTTGAAAATATAGGTGATTTATGGGGAAAAAAAGAAAGAAAAACAAACTTCAAAAGGATTGACATTTTCTGTAGGGATTGTTTCTGAACATAAATGAGTTAGGATTCCCTGGTGGCTTAGTTGGTAAAGAATCTGCCTGCAATGAGGGAGACCTGGATTTGATCATGGGTTGGGAAGATCCCCTGAAAGACGGCACAGCAACCCACTCCAGTATTCTTTCCTGGAGAATGAATCCCCATGGACAGAGGAGCCCGGTGGGCTACAATCTATGGGGTTGCAGAGAGTTGGATATGACTGAGCGACTAAGTACAGCATAGAGAGCACAGAGTACTGCTTCTATAAACTGCAGCTACTTATTGCTTATACTCCCCAAGCAGTTAAAGAGGGTAAGTTTAAAAGTATTTTATGCGACATGGCAAAAAATGGTGAAAAATGAAGCACTGACAAATTTAAATCCAACTGTAAACAATCATGTTGCTCAGTGTAGTAAAGATAGGTCTGAGAACTTACAGAATAAACTTCATGGAAAAAGACAAGTTGTTTATGGTATTTCTAATGGCAGCTGATTAGAACAGAGAGATACAAGTAATACAACACAGATAGTTATATTTACTCATGGAACTGAGGAGGATTTTCAAGAGACTAAAGAACTTACAGCTATAGTATTCATAATAAGCACAACACTACAGAATGATTCTTTGCTGTGTTCTATGAAAAGTTTAATGTAGACTGGTCAAATTAACGTGTGACCCTCAATGGTCATTGTTAGTGTGCACTTCTTATTCAACAATCAGTATTTTGCAAGTCCAAAAAGCTTAAGCCCATTCATCACATTATTTTGTAACAATTTAACAAAGGGACAGCATGAAACTAACCTCATGAAACAGCTGAATGGCACAAAACTCTAAACTTTGCTAGATGAAATGGATGCAGACTTAATTGTCTGCTGGAGGAAATGATGTGAGGGTGAGACACTTGGTGCTGAAGAGAGCTTTCTGTTCCGCTGAAAACAGTGCATCATAGGATCTAAGGAAAAACCACCAACTTGGCTCATCAACAACTAACACTGCATCCAAGACTTGGCTTTTTTGGGTTGACATCACAAGATATTTATGTTAGGAACGTCGTGTAAGTGCCGTGATACAGTATTTGTTCTTTCATGGCTGGCTTATTTCACTTAGCAAAATGTCTTCAAATTCACTCATACTGTAGCATGTGTTAGAATTTCATTCCTTTATAACACTGAATATGTTTTGTTTATTCATTCTGCTGAACATGATTTGTTTATTCATTCATTAGTTGAGGACTATCTGGCTTGCTTCCACCTTTTGGCTATTAGAAATAATATTGGTATGAATAGGTGTGTACAAATGTCTCTTCAAGACCCTGCTTTCAATTTGTTTGAGTAGATGTCCAGAAGTGGAACTGCTGGAAAATACAGTAAGTCTGTGTTTAATTTTTGATGAACAGCCATACTTTTTCATAACAACTTCACTATTTTCTATTCCCACCAACCTGGCAAAAGTGTTCCAATTTCTCCACATTTCGTACCAACACTTTGTTATTTTGCTTTTTGATGGCAGTCATTTTAATGGGTGTGAACTGACATCTCATTGTGCTTTTGATTTGCATTTCCCTAACAACTAGTGCAGAGAAGGCAATGACACCCCACTCCAGTGCTCTTGCCTAGAAAATCCCATGGATGGAGGGGCCTGGTGGGCTGCAGTCCATGGGGTCGCTAAGGGTCAGACAGACTGAGCGACTTCACTTTCACTTTTCACTTTCATGCATTGGAGAAGGAAATGGCAACCCACTCCAGTGTTCTTGCCTGGAGAATCCCAGGGACGGAGGAGCCTGGTGGGCTGCCTTCTATGGGGTCACACAGAGTCGGACACGACTGAAGCGACTTAGCAGCAGCAGCAGCAGCAACAACTAGTGACTTGAGCATCTTTTTATGTGCTTATTGACAATTTGTATATCTTTTTGGAGAAAAGTCTATTTAGGCCCTTTGCCCATTTTTAACTGGGTTGTTCTGTCATTGTTGAGTCCAAAGCGTTCTTTATAAACTCTGGATATTAATCCCTTATCAGACACATGATTTGCAAATATTTTCTCCCAATTCATTGGTTGCTTTTTCACTGCTGATAGCATCCTTTGAGGCAGGCAAAATTTTTAATTCTGAGGAAATTCAATTTATTTTTTTCTTTTGTTGTCTTTGCTTTTGGTGTCATGGCCAAGAAGTAATTGCCAAATCCAATGTCAAAAGTTTTTCCACTGTTTTCTTCTAAGAGTTCTGTATTTTCAATACTTACATTAAGGTATCGGATTCATTTTGAGGTAATTATTGTATATGGTATATATGTCCAACTCAATTCATTTGCAGGTAGGAATCCAGTTTCCCTAACACTATTTGTCAAAACAGGCATGCTTAAATAGATAACACAAATATGTGATTTGATTTCCTCATTCTTACCAAAACTTAATCTTTAGGAAACCTGTTTGGTAAGAAATTATCTGGTCCACTTTCATATGCTACAATCCAGTTCGCAGAAATCAAAGAATGACAGTTTGAACCATATTTTTACTTTATGGAATTAAAGGTAACTGACCCTTTACCATCCTCAAGCATATAAAATTTGTGATTTCAACCTTTATAAAGATGATATGACCTGTTTGTTTGTCTTTGTCAACTAATACTGATAGTGTGAGCAAAGAGCTGTACAAACAGAAGTTACTGAACTGCAGAGCAATACCACACAGAAAACTAAACATGACTGATGTGGAATTTGATTTCTACAAATATCTCAGGAATAGTTACTCCAAATAGAAAATCTTTTATGCCAACATTCTAGTCCAATTTGGAAGTACTTCTGTTTAAGCTATTTTCTATTATGAAATAAAGCAATTAACTCATTAGAAAAGCAAGGCTCAGTGCAAAATTACATCCTGCAACCTGAGAGACAGAATGTGCCACTGAGATGTAGTGTGGATGAAAAGGCATCAGATTTAAGTTCCAAATAAAGAAAGGAATATTAGAGAGAATGATTTCAACTCACCTTTTATTAATTCTGAATATTAAATTCCAATATTAGCTCAGAGGTAAAGTGAAGATAAGTGTGTTGTATTTTTCTGTTAGTTGATTTTCTTATATTGGGCTTACTTCAGCAGATCACCCAATCTGCTGAGTACCAATAGGGATCTGAGTTCAAGATGACAACGTGCCATCTCTAGATAGTCTTAATGACTGGTGAAATTAATCAGAACTAAAAATAGGGTCATCCCCAATGGAATTAAAATAGTTCCATTCTGACTGCTGCCCTAACATATTCAAAACCAAACAGGTGTGAGATTGATTCAGACTTATACTACTGTCCATCCCAAGAGCTTCCAGCATTGACCCCTGACTCCTTTAGGCCCTGCTCTGTGACTCACAAGAGTTTTGGTAACTTGCCCAGAGTCACAGATTTAGGTTGCAGAAATAGAATCCAAACCTACCTCTGCCTGATTCTTATCTACTATGTGGTAAAGAAGTAAAAAGCAACTTATGAAATAAATTCATGGCTTGATTTTATTTTATAAAATAAAAGGTATGCATGGGGTATAAGTAGCTGCATAATATTAAGTAGGCATATACATATTTAAAATGTATCCAGAAAGCTGTCTCTGTGGGACCAGCTGATAGATAACGATCATGTTTTATTCATTCTGCTTGCCTGTATTTCAAAAATGTTCTGTAACATTTAGGTAATAGGAATAAAAGTGCTACATCATTTTTCAAGAGCACAAAGTTGCTCTTTACTTTTTTACCACATAGTAGATAAGAACCAGGCAGAGGTAGGTTGGATTGTATTTCAAGTACACACTAGGTAAAAGCCTTCAAGCCACTTTCTGTCTGTATTCCCAGGAAGCTCTCCAGGCGGTGGGAAGCCTCAGGTCTCCTAGGTTGCAATGCCAATACTATGAAATCATGGTATCAGGTTGGCCATTCACGTAACATTCTTGCAAGTACCCCACAGAACCACCAAATAGGAAGAGATATATGAACATGAGATGAGAACCCGTGCAACAGCTCACAAGGATCCTGCTAAAATACAAGTAATTTAACCCTTTCCAAGGGGAGTAAATTTAGAACATGTTTTACTTCTACAAAAAATAACTATTCTTAAGTCACTTCATCACCAAGCAGAAAAAGCACTTTGTTGTGTTCCATGAATCTGCATGAAGGGCCATCAGAGTAATAAGCAGAAATAGCACACCAAAGCCACACTGCTGTCATGAAGAAGAGGGAGCACTGTGGACAGTGACCCTCCCCTTTCAATCACAGGCATGCTCAGAAAATGCCAGTTGTTTTCTAAGGCTTTTTTGTTTTGTCTCTGTCAACAAGGAGACTTTGATTCAGTGGGATCTGTTGGTCCAGTGCTGTAAAACAAGAGGCAGGAGATGATTCATTTTTAATAAGGCAACATAATTTACATAACCAAAGGAGTACGCGCCACTTCAGAACAGTCACCTCAAATGCTGTATACGTGTTACTTGGGACCATTTTGGAATTTCTCTTTTGGAACTCATTTCCAGAATTACACATTTGTTCACTCATTCAAGTACTTACTGCAGCTTCCTGTTCTAGGCAGATGGATACAGCTGTGAACTGAACAAATCCCTGGGGTGCACACAGTTTAGATAGAATGGCCAAGGAGGACACTCGGGCAAAAACAGAAAGAAACGAGGGGTGCATGGCACACAGATCCTGTAGGGACTGCGTCTGACTCACGGGACTGCGTCTGACTCACAGAACAGCACAGCGAGACCAGAACGGCTGGAGCACAGGTCAATGGGAGCAGGCCCGGGTCCCGTGGGTCCCTTGGACCTGGAAGGAACTACAGCTCACTGTGTGGGCAACAGAAAGCCAAGGAGCATCTGAGAGCATCTTCTGAAAACAGTGGTGCAGGAACGTTAATCACTAGTGAAGATCTGGGTGTGAGGACAAGCTATGGTCATTATGGGCCAAGAAGATGGAGGAAGTAGGTAAATGTTCATATGACTTGTGGCATGGCTCTAACAGGCCCAGAGAGAAACTTCAGAACAACTTCCCAAATGCTTTCAATGTCTGTCATGTTCTGGCTGCCCAACATCCAC